GAGAAGGGGGAAAGAACCAGGCACTGATGATAAAATGATTCATAGCAGAAGTGTGCAATGAAGGAATGAGAAAAAGGAAGAGGAGTTTTTTAGATTATTCACAGTGAGCAAGAAGCATGGCATAGAAGAAATATTGAATAAAGTGAGGGATTAATAAAGGAAAGTAAGACATTGGATAATAAATATAGGTTGGAGGACAAAACATGATGGATATATATCATAAGAATGGATTACAGTCATAAATAATGAAAAACCTGCAAATAAAGGGTTAATCATACATAGAAAAAGTGGTTCAGGTCAGTTTTAGTGCTTGAGAGTAACTTTTTAATTTGGCAAAAATTCAGAGACAGTTGCCAGCACCTGGCAAACAGCCAAACAAATAAAAACTCAGAAATGAAAAAGCAATAAAGCTTAGACTGTGATAAGATTAACAACAATCTTATTTGTACTGGTGTGGTGAGTAAAAAAAGCTTTTGTCTGATGAAATGTAATTTGATTTAGAAGCATGCAGCCATGAGTTTGGGACATTAGGAGAGCGGGGGTGCTGGAAGCTGCCAGGACCAGCTCTCTCACCCAGGACGCCCACCCAGGTGGCGGACGACAACAAAAACAAAACATGTAATGGATGTTATAGTCTATAAAGGAGACATTTTGCACTTAGCTTACTTCATGTTTTCTACAAATTGAAAAATAAGATTTGGTAAAAGGCTACACAGCATGCAAATTCGATTTGTAGCTCGTTATTTTCAAAATGCCTTTTAGTCCCGTCCCATCTTCCCTGATCTCAGTTCGCCTCCATTAACTCTTAATGAAATTATAAGGATTTCAAGTTTATTTATCTGAGGAGATTAGCTGGGAGAAGGGAAGCAAATATGCAACAGTTGCAAATATGGAGGCAAAGAAGACAGAAATGTTGGAAAAACATTTGAACAAATTGTTTAACACAAATATACTTATTTTGATAAATGATACAATAATTTGAAGGGCTGGAAGTATGAATGACCAAGTTGCAAACATGCAGGATAGAGAAGGAAAGAGGAAAGAACAATTGGTTCATTTAGTTTCCATCTCAGCAAAAGATAAGTGTATCAAATCTTTGTAGAACTAACAGTGTGATTTTGCTCAAACGAATGAATGCACAAACACTTACATTCAAACAGTAACATCAATGTCTTCATTCCCATCCTAAACGACGCCAAATGTTAGAAATATTCTATGCAAATATTGATTTTGTACTTATTAGACGTTGTTTATTCAGTGTTGTTGTTGATGTGGTGACACACAGTATGCAAATGTAATATTTGTAACTGACATTATATTAGGAGTGATGGTTCATCATATAATAGCTGAAGGGTTAATGCCATTGCCTAACAACGAAGAGTTGTATCCTTTTCAGGGTCTTTCCATTTGAGTTGCCTCTTGAACCTAGGCAGGTATGAATTTATATTAGATCACAGAAATACACATTTAATCCAAATCTCTTTTACAGCTGAATATGATCACTTAGCTGCCAAGACTGCATCATTCCAATAAGAAGCAGGCTGACCACACGTGTAAAGGACTGCCTGCTGGTTTATGTCTGTGCATCTGGTTGTGTTTGTGATAAAAGACGAAGCAGGGATGGAAAAAGTATTATTGGAGGGCAGGCTGAGAGAGGAGGAGTGATATAACTGTTGGGTAATGTCTGCTCTGAATTCATCCTGATACATTCTAAATCCAACCTTTTCAAAGCTAAAGATGGTCACTGGATCTTTATACTGTAAGATATCATGTCACATTTCGTTTTCCATTGAACAGTCTTTAAACACTTCCAGAGCCCATACTGTGTTCGCTTTGGTGTTTACTTCCTGTTTGTTTTTTCTTCTAAATTCTGTGACATTCAGCTCTCTTTCTGCATGGTTCTCTTTACTGGGGACAGTTTAGCCATCATGAATCCTAAGTTTTGTGCTCTCCACACAAATACAAAATAAATATAAAAACATTTCTTCAACAGCTTATTTTTTGGCAACGCTGACCTATACTGTAAATTGACCAGACTTCTTTCTGCTGTTGATAAGACTGCATATAGTCCCTTGATCAGAGTTTCCTCCTTAAAAAATAGCAGACTGCAGAATGTTTGAAATGGACCAATCAGCTTGGAGTATTCAACTAAGGCTAAGCCATGTAATTATGGCATTGATTGCCTTTTAAGTGTTATAACTAAAAATATCAAGTGTGAATTTGCCTAAAATAATTTGTTTAATACCATAACACTAAGAGGTTGCTACAAATACAGTATTTTTCTGTTTTTTTCTAACAAAAGCTGTGAAATTAATATTCATATGTATTACTTTTCATTTTATGAGTCTGTCTGTGATTGTGTGTGCGGGTGTTTGAGTGTGTGCGTGTCTGTGTTACGAGTGATTAGTGCAGCTAAGCAGAAATTTCAAATTTGTGTTAGTAGGTTACACGCTCAGCAAAGGCCAACCACAAGAGACCTGTCTGAAGTGTGTGTCTGCATCCAAGAAGAACGTTCGCACAGGCATGCTTGAGTTTGTGTGCGCCCGTGGATTTGGGAAGATGAGATCTGGACCATGTCATTATGTGGATGCAAAATCTGGGCCATTAAAAACATTTTTACATCCCTAAGTGGAGGAGACAGTGTAAAAGAGAAGTGTTAGACATAGAAAGCTACTTGATTATACGCAGCACATACTTGAATTGCATGAGGGAATGAATCCAAACTTCTTCGGTATGCATATGTTTGTGTATTGTGTGTTTTCATGTCAGAGGGTGTGGGCAGAGAGCAGGACTCTGGAGACAGACTGTGTTTACATCAATGATGCTTGCTGCTCAAATGTCACAGTTGATGGAAAATGTTTCCCTGCAGAATTTTAAATGTTAATATGCTGAACATTCAACTTCCCAGAGAATTCACAACTGAGGTTGTTGCTAGTGTTTATATTCTGACTGATAAAAGAAAAGAAAAGGAAATGCTTCTCATGAACTATTATTTTTCTATTATGGAATTTTGACGATGTAATTTTATTTATATTTCTGACATACTATAGTATGCTGTTTTTCCTATATTGTCGGCATACTAGACAATGTAGTTTTTTATTATATCTTCGACATACTATACTGCGTCTTTTTATCTGATATATTCAACATTCTATACTACGTTGTTTATTATGATATTGTCGATATAATATACTATGTTGTTTCTTCTGATATTTTCGACATACTTTGATATGCAGTCTTTTCTGATATTTTCGACATTCCGGGTGTTTCTCAATGTCGAGGAAGGCTCCTCCAGAGCCACTATTTCAAGGATGCTACGTCATCGAGTCCCGCCAAAGGACTGTTCCTATGTCCAGGATCCTTGGAATTCTACGGAGGCAGGCGTCCTTCGTTGCGGGAAATTTCGAGGCAGCACATGTATCCTCCGCGGTCTGAAAATCCCCACAATGCTTTGCGCACAGACCAATTTCCAAAATCTTTGGCGGAAATCACGCTCCATTTAAGGCGGGGCCTCGCACACCTGTTAGCCTGTTCCACCATTCTTCGTTTTCCGAGGCTAGGAAGGATTCTTGCCTCGCTTCTGAAGGACTTGACTCGGAAGACATGTCCTACCAAGGAAGCGTCCTCGACATTGAGAAACACCCACTATACTATGCCGTTTTTTATGATATTTTCAACATACTATACAACGTCGTTTATTATGATATTGTCTACATACTGTACAATAGTAGTTTTTTGGGATATTTTCAACATACTTTACTACTGTATGTCGTTTTTGAAATATTTTCCGACATACTAAACTATTTCGTTTTTTCTGATATTTTCGACATACTATCTCATCTTTTCAAAACTTAAAACAAATATTCATGTACATTATACTATACTATGGCTAGGTTTTTGAAATGCTTTACCATTTATACCATACTCCGACAAGTATAGTATGACTTTTTTCGTCATATTTATCAGTATACTAAAACAACTAAATAAAACTTTTTTCATGATATCTTTCTTTCATGATATTCTTGACATATAATTGTTCCAAAATAATATACTATGAGTTTTTTTTATATCCTTTTAAATTACATTTTTCTAAAAATACTCATCTAAATCAAAGAGAGAAGTGAGGGTAACAGATTTGGTGCAGAACACCCTGAGAGGATCATCGCCCATATAATCTTATGATCATCCAGCCAGATCCAGCTTTAACACTTGACTGGTGGACAGCAGCGTGAGAATCGGGTCGGTCTCCAAAGGAGAAGAGCAATAGTGAGATAAAGAAGCAATGAACAAATGAGGGCAGGAGGTATGAGAAAAAAAACAAGAAGAAAGAGGTGAAGAAATGCTGATGCAGAGAAATCACTGATAAGGGCTCTCCAAGCTAATTAAAGCGCTATAACCAAACTAGAATTAGGATGCATAGTAAAGAGGGCCAGATGGTCAGGGATGTAGGGCAGTCTATAGTGAAGTTTTAAATGCTTTAGGAAAAAAAAGAAAAACACCTCTTTAAATGTGTTTTCTTCTAACTGTGGTTTAAAATACATGGCTGCCTTAATACCCAATTCTTAAATGTGTTGATTTATATTGTGCAGACACCCACACGCAACATTTTACACTTGTATTATTTCCAACTCTAATCTAGTTATCCCAAAAACGTCCCCATTTTCAGTCCAATATGATAAGCTCCAGGCTCATTATTTTATGCTTTAGATATATACAAAAAATATGTTAACAGATGTTAAAAACGCAAATCGAAATACAAAGACACACTTTTACTCAACTATTAATTATGAGCCATAATTATTTTTCCATGCTTAATAGAATTTGCATTATTCTCTTAACTGACAAACTTGCAAGAAGATATTGTTTTTCTATCAGTATGACACAAAACGACTCTTTTATGAGTGGGAGTGTTAAATATGCTGTAGGTCAAACATATGTACCCCAAGACAAATAAACACATACAAAATACACATGAGCAATACAAAATAAAGAACCAAATCACTTGTTATTTAGCCTTTATTAAATAATAATAACATTAAAAAAGAAATTCTTCTGTACAAAGTCTACAAACAACAGTTTGAGTTATCTGGCCAGTGCCGTAGGTTTGTGTGTGTACGGTACATCTTAATGCATTTGTCTGTGTGTGTGTGTGTATGAGTGTGTCGGTGTATTTATGTGTGTATCCATCGAGACAGAAGAGGTAATACTAAATGGACTTCAAGAAAGAAAGTGTTAAAGACAAGCGGGAGAAAGAGAGAGTCTAAATGTGCGTGTTTCTAAATGACCTGGTGTTCGTTCGAGAGACATAATAAAAGAGCTCCAAGGCACTTGGAAAACAGTCCAATGAAAACGCAGTTAGATGGACAGAAAACCCTCAGTCTCTCTCGATTATATCCACTCCCTTTATCTCTCCTTATACGATCTTCTTTCCACACCTTTTTATGATCCCACTTTTCTTTTGTTTATTTCATCTCACTAGGCCTGTTGGCTTTATCCAAACAATACCGCTGAAAAGGAAGAGATGAGAGAGACTGGGGGAAACAACAAGTGCAACATGTTTTTCCCCCATACTGTCCTTCCTCTGTTATACTTTCTGTGTGTATGTTTTGTCTGGTTTGTCAGCTTTCACCTGTCCTGCTGACAGCCTCGTGTTATTGTCTGTCCTATCAGTCTGTCAGCCAGACACATTTCCAGGCAGACAATCACCTTTCTGTCAGCACAACTCCAGTTGTATCGATGAATGTTTTCATATAAATCTTTCATAGACTTCAAATGACAAGTTAATCCAATGTTCAAGGCACATCTTTAACTGCAGATAGTTTACTTCAAATGCACTTGTTATTTTGACACTAAAGAAGTCAGTCTCTGACTATTTCCAATTCATGTGTATTTGTACAAGTGTTTGAATAAGCATTCTGTCAACATTGTGTGTCTTTTTAAGGGCTTCAACAACTATCTTGAATGCATTTCCGCTGTTTTATACCCATATAATGTCAAATTGGTTGCTAGCTTGCCTTCTTCCTTGTTACACATTTGAGTTTCTGCATGCTTAGATGCTTGATACAAACAAGAGACATTGCTCCATTGCGCTACTAGATATAAAAACAGCTGCGACCATATAACCATAATATAACCATATAATTCCCTTGCCTCTTTCTTTCTTCCTGTCTAACTTATGTATGTGTGTATGTGTGTGTGTGTGTGTGTCTCCTCCTGTTCTTCAGTAGCACTGGCACTCCCCGATGGCTGTCCTCCGATACAGCGTTTACTGTAGTTAGCTTAAGGCTCGATTGTGTGTCCAAGAAAATCGACGGTACGATTTCCACTATCCTCCTTTAGTCATTTCCTTCTCCTTCCGTTTTTTTGAGCGTCTTTCATTCAGGGGGGGTGACGCTATAAGAGCGTTGGATAAAAGGCAGGGTAATTTATCTCTCAGTCCATTCTCCACCCGGCCTCTTTTAACACTTGTTCGGACCCCCTGTGCACATACACAGCTCTTTGGCAATCCATAGGTTGCGATAAAACAATCACTGACATTTTGTTCACACAGTGTCTGTCCATCATTTGGGCATCATACAGTCTGAAAAGCAAAAAAATATAGATATATACCAAAGACAAACCCTAGAATACTGAATCTAAAGCACGACTCCATAACAGCATGTTAGATTTAAATAAACCTCTGATTTTCCGTCTTCCATCTTCCTTTACCTTCCTTTGTAAAGTCTGATCAATGGAAAATGTGTGAAAATAGAAAAGGACTGAAGTAACAGTTAAGACCATGTAGTCCAACACAACGCTAAAGAAAGTCTAAAAATGGCGTAAGAGCTCTACAGGGCGGCTACGAACTGAAGCTGGCTTTTCTTTAACCTTTTTTTTTCCAAACAGACACAAGTCTAAAACATAACAAAAACAGTCACCATTACTCTTCTATGCCACTGGTTTCACAAAGCGCAGAGGGCAGACAAAGGAGCGAGCGGCGCCATGTGGCGGACTAATGGACTTTTGAAAGCCCCAGAACTCATATCTAAAACTCTTGGAGACAAATAAAAAGAAAATGTCCTTTTTAAATCTTTCTTTACCGTTAGATTCATTTCAGTTTGATATCTTTTAAAACTTCTTTAGGGGGGGATAGGCATTCGCTTGATATGTGTTGATTTCAGTCAAAAGTACCCACATTGAATGGTCCACTGGTGCTGAAGTCTTCACCAACAGTCTAGAGCTTTTTCATTTCAGCCACATTCAAATTAAAGCCAACGAGGACACAGTTCACATTGCCCATGTACCAAGTACCAGTAATGGGTACATGTCACATTTGAACACCTCACATAAGACTGTGCTGTCATTTTGGTCCAAACGTCCAGATTGTCACAGTGCTGCAGTCCATCAACATCCAAACTTCATTCCAGTGGATGGTGGGTTATATTCTATGTTAGATCTGTCATTCATATTCATTCCTTCAATCATTCACAGGCTTTAAGAATCAAGCAGGCTCTCTCCTGCAGGCAGAGGAGATGCGGTACTGTGGGGAGGAGGGATTGGGATCAGGTGTTCCCCCGCTTTAGGCCTCGTTGGGAAATCAATGTTCCTACTGGCACCCAAAAAGGTGGGAACACTCCGGGTTGAATGTTTCCCCCTTTAGACATCAGAGCAGGATAAAAGGTAGGGGATTGAAATATCACATAGTGCTTCCTTTTCATATTTTCTTTGTCCAAACCGAGAACCAAAAGAACTTTGGCGAGGGATCTAGTTCCCTAATGTCTTCTTCCTTCTATTCATGCCTCTGAGCAGCACCTCTGCTGGTTGATCTTCACTTTATGCTTGATCCCGTCGTACAACTCAAAGTTGTAGTTCTCCAGCGTTGTGGAGGATCGCGAGGACAGCCCACTGTAGGAGCACGTGCAGTAGAGGAGCAGTCCTGCACACACCGCACCCAGAAGCACTCCCAGGGAGCTCATCACGATGATGGTGAGCAGGATGGGGTCCAGCGTGTACAGCCAGGCATTGTCCTTGTCTTTCTCCGACATCAGGGTGACGGAGGAGGGGTCCACATCGGAGGAGGACGGGGTGGAAAAGGACGACCAACCTGGGAAGACATAGTCTGGAGAGAAAACATGAAAACGTTAGGGAATACATCATTTAAACATGTTTATGTTCAGGAAGCATGTAAGTAATTTGACTACAAATCATACTTCATTTCAAAGTGAGTCACACTGGTGTAATTGAGGCTTGTCCATGTGTTTTTCCTATCATTATACGCAATCATTGGTTTTCATACACTTCCATTGACATAATTGTTGTTTGGCACCAAGGTTGAGTTGCATTGATAACAAGTTTAATGATTGCACGCATAATTTAAATTAATAATCTTAACCCTTAAAGGTCTAGACGACTCAACAAGTTCCAAGAATACAGTAATTCAGAAATACATGGAGATACAAAAAACTGAAAAGAAGCCTCAACAGTATACATGTAAACACATAGGAATATTCCTTTAAATTTAGTAAGTTTGACTTTTGTTTAATAGCACCACTGAGGTCACAAGTGACCATTAGGAAATAATGGGGTTGCACTGTATTATGATGGTCTGAGAGGAGTCAGAAATGGATAACTGACTCAATCAAACAGGAATAACTATCTGAAATTGAGCTAGCATTAGCCACTATAAGAAAAAGGTTATGCCATACAAAGTCAAGCTGTAGAAGCAAAAACGATTTGATTTGACCGTTCTTATACATTACATACTGTAGGACTTCTGTTTGAGAAGGATGTGGTATTTCTTTCTTCAACAGTAGAAAAGTCTCACTTTAACAAATGTATTCAACTGTATCAGAGGCAAATGTTCGTTTCAGTATCCCCAGAACTGTTGTTGTTATAGACTTCATTAGTTTGGAAACATAATAAAAATAATTAGTGTAAAGGAGCTCTCCGGTGTGTCTTGTGTGCACATCTAGTTGGCATAAGCAATCATGCTAATCCACTTAATGAATGTGTACACATGAACAAGCCAATCTGCAATTAAGTACTACATTTAGAGTGTTTTATAGCACGCACACACACACGCGCACGCACGCACGCACGCACGCACGCACGCACGCACGCACGCACGCACGCACGCACGCACGCACGCACGCACGCACGCACGCACACACACACACACAGGCAGTAAACAGACTTGTTTAGCGAGGTAAAGGCTGAGTACTCTTCTTGTATCTGTCAGGGGGGATGGGAGAAACACGGGATAATAACTCATGCATGTGCACAGACACAACTACAGAAACACACACACCGATACTGTTAACAGACACACATCCAAAGACCTACAGGAATTAAAGTGTGATTGTTACAGACAGATGTTTTCTAGGTGCCCAGGAGGAAGCTGACTGTCTCACTTTGCCTGCTACGAAACAAAAAAGAGGAGGAGAGGAAGCCCACATGCACACACAGATAGACACACTTTTGGATGCTCTCTCAGAGTCTTCCTATACACTCTCCCGCGCACACACACACACACACACACACACACACACACACACACACACACACACACACACACACACACACACACACACACACACACACACACACACACACACACACACACACACACACACACACACACACAGCAGAGATAGTCTGTCACTGTTGCCACAGGCTTGTTCTTGTGGAATCACAAGAAAAGCAGAGCCATGGGCATGCCTCTGCTTAAAGAGTTGTTTCACTACTATGTGGGTGACTTGTAAAACAAGCCAGTACAGCCTCAGGCTGAGAGGAGAGGAGAGGGAAGGAAAATATGGGACAGGTGAGGGGAGGGAAATAAAGGAGAGGTGAGACAAAAAAAATGAAATTAAAGGAAAGCAAAAGAAGGAAAGGAAAGGAAAGGAAGGGAAAGAGGAAAGGACACAAAGTTAAGGAAAGAAGCGGCAAGAAGGGGACTTTGAACCTCACCTCCATTGATGGATGTCTTCGGGTTGAAAACAGGATCCTTTCCAAAATCCATAGGCCTGGGATCTGTTGAAACGATACAGACAGAAAATATTATTAATCTCAAACATCCAGTCAAGTCAGAACTACTGAAAAGTGAAAAACCATGTTGTGATAGCATCATCCATTTGTGAGCACACAAGCTCTATTTGTAGGTGGAAATCAAACTATACAAACAGCTCAAAGAGTGAGTGGTCTTGTTTAAACGGTCTGAAGATATCAGGCTAGAGATTGCCTTTAAACCATGTTATTTCAAGAGAGAGAAAAGGGGAAACTGAAGTGCGAAATGAAAGGACGCAAAACCGTTTCATAGAAAAATATCACTTTTATTACCTTCACATTCCCAGCAATATATTTTCTTTTTTATTCCAAGACCATGAAATTCAACAAGCTAAAATACCACATTATATTTCTGAGGCAGGCTGAAGTGCGTGGCGTTGAAGGGATTGGAAGCTAAATTCTGCTTCATTTCAGTTTTAGTCAAGGAAATTGATATTAAAGTCCTCAGGAAAAAAAAATAGAGTAGTATCTGGGCAGCTACTGTAAAAATCATTTATTGCTGGGGCAAAGGATCCAAAAACATATTAAATGAAACCGTCATAGATATTCAAAGATAAGGGTTGAAAAACTAATTTAGTTGATAGGAAAAAGGATACGGAGCTTCATTTCCTTAGTTAGATAAGGTAATTTTCCTATGAGACAATCTTAACGGGGCATTCAGACAATGTCTCCTATAAACAGCTTTTACGAACTTCCAATACTTGTTATTTTGTAAATAATAACACTAAATTAATACTTTGAATGACACCTGCTATCTGTGAAATTAAGATATTCGCTCATGTATTAAATATGAGGTAATTTCCTTGAAAAAAAGAAGTGAATCCCATCCTTTAAATGACACAAAATTGACTTCCAAATCCAATTATAGAATAAACTAAAAGAAAGCGACTCAATTGGATTTTAATGTTAATAACAGCGAACCAAGAAATCCTTTGCTAAATGGAGTGTCATCTTTCTCTGATGTTTTAGAATTTGCTTATTTAATTATTTGATTATGGGATGGAGTATGGGTGCCGCTTGGCTTTGTATGTTTCTCTGTAGTTCAATATTTAATTAGCTTGAAGTGCGAGACAGTAAAATGCAGCGTGAGTCAAAAAGACAATCATAAAGTCGAGTTATGTCCCTCACAGAGTCAGAGTAGTAAATACAGTGAGGCGGCTGAAGCCAGGGACGAATGTCTAAGCACTTCAACGCTGGTTTTATTAAGCTAAACTAGTCACAGTTTAAGTTCAAACCAAGTTCATCCCTGGCTGAGGCCATGCTTCAGAATGATCAGTCAGATTTACATCACAAACAATCTTTCTGATCAATAAAAAAAACATTATTACAATAAGAAATCAAAAGACAATAACAACATCATTGAATCACTTAATAGAAATGTCGATTTTCGAGAAAAAAAATAAAACTGTAGATGCACTTAACCCCTAAAATGTGTGATGTCACATTACCAAAATGAAGTGACAAATTAGTAAAAAAGTGCTATATAGACTATATAAACTCCACATTTGACTGCAGATTATGAACATGACTTGAAATGATGTTTGTCTGAAACACCCAACAAAACAAAATAAGGTTGTCATGTTATTTAAAGGGGCCCTATTATGCTCATGTTTGTATTGTGTGCCTCTACTGTACCATGCTTTAATTTTCAAAAAGTGCTTTATATTTTTTCTTTTTCACTATCTATCTGAAACCAGAACCCAGTCTGCTCTGATTGGTTAGCTGGCAGACTCTGTTGTGATTGGCCAACAGCTTAAAGATGTTCTGCCCCTTAGCCAAGCTAGCCAATAGGGGCATGAGTGTAACACATTGATGACACTGTGTCAGTAAACTAAGGAGTCAAGTCAAGACCCCCCTACTTTTTGATTTTAGCCTTTGCAGAGCATTCCCATGCAGACGAACCTATAAACACTACAGGAAAATGACAAACCCCAAAAGCATAAAAGGGCCCCTTTAATTTAAAGTACTGCAGTTACTGAGCGGCACAGGCAATCAGTAGTGAAACAATCGATACTAAAGTTATAAATATGGCTGATCCCAGTAGTCACACTGCAAATTATAATATGTTCTGGAGGTCTCACTGAAATGTACTCTCCATGTAAGACTATACATTCGTACATACACTTGAAAGCATCTCATTTGTTCTGGTTGTGTTAATGTACAGTCTCCCAACAGACCCTCCAGGCTCTAGCTTCTCCTTTCTCACAGTCAAATGAAATCACCACAGGCCTTGACAAAACATTAAAGAACGCAAAAGAATCCGGATAACGGGGAAAAAGAGAGATGATTGGACGGACGCTCTTTGGACGACTGTTGAACACTTTCTAATGATCCTGGCCTAAAGCCCTCAGGCTAGGATCCTGAGAAGAATCATCATGCGGATCTTAAAGGAGATTAAAACTCCCCGTAGCCCCATTTGATCTCCACTCTCCAATTAGCAAAGAGAAGAATAAAAAGGGGGGGCTTTCTTTATTCGGGAAAAGACATGGATAGTTCTTTGGCACCATGCGCTGTTGCAGCGGGGACCCAAGGACCTGTTAGAGAGCTTTCACTCGTAATATTTCTCCAGGACACAGAGAAGGAGGAGGCAGGGGGAAAAAAGGAAAAAGAAATGGCCGGAGGGCTAGAAATGCTTACTGCAGGGTTTTATGAATGCAATCAGCTCCATTAACTAATTAGAAATATTAAAGGGCTCCAAAGTAGTCTGTGATGGAGCAGCGAGAGGAAAGTGAGGGATGGCTGATTTAAAAGTGTGGCATGAAGACAAGCCAGCACATTTTCCAAATCTTGCAAAAAACTTTGATGGAGGGAAGGAGAATGAAAGGGGGAAAAAGTGCATTGGTAGCACAACATAAATACAGTAATATATCATTCCTCCATTAGAATTTGGGACCCACATTGATTGGGTTACAGCGCAGGGCTGCTAGAGTGACTCATAGAATGTGTAAATCACGCACAAGTCGATTGAAATGGAAGGCAGAGGGGATGGATGTGCGAGCATAAAATAACGAGAATACAAAACGAGACACAATTTGAGGAAACACGTCACTATGGAGAGATGCAGAGTGGTTTCTGAACATGCATGCAACTATTGGAGTGACTGCATTTTCTCTGCTAACACTGGTTTACGTTTGTTTGAGAACATGTGTGTCTCTCCATCGCTCTGTCTATTCTGCCAAAAGACTTCTTTCATCTGCTTTTGTGTTTGAAACAACCTGCCCTCCTCCTTCAATCCAAACCCGACCTGCCTCCCCGTTAGCCTTCCTCTCGGAGTAAAAAATAAAAAATCTATCTTTAGAAAAGTATTTTTTTTACTTCTTTCATCTTCCTTCATCTCTGGGCATCTCTCTCTCATTCTGTGGAGGCAAAGGGGGCTCGCTCAATGGGCCCTTTTCCTCTGAGAGAGTTTGCCCTCCTCTCCTTTCTGCCTCTCATTTTCTCTCCTGTGTTTTTTTTGCTGGGAGGATTTGTGATAAAGGGAGGAGAATAGGAATAAGCGGGGTTTTGATAAAAAAAAAAGGCTAGGGGATTTGTGCATGAACAAAATGATGTAAAGGAGTAGCCTACAACATAAGATGGTGAACTGCTGAGAAATACTACAGTGACAACCCTAACCCTAACCCTAACCCTTGATTATTTTTCAACCAAAACCAAGCAAATTCATTAAGTTTTGTTCATGCTTTGGATAATTTCCACATGACATTCTTAATATCTTCGATTTCCTATCCATATACCACTTAACCTTGAAGACGGGTGCTAATGAGGGAAACACGTTTGCTGTTGCAAAATTTGACATAACATTAAAAGTCAAGGAAAAAGTTGTTAAGATCATCTCAGTGAACACAATCCACATAACTGTTGCCTTAAAAACAACAGCCAGTGAGTATAAAAATAAACATTGACTAACTATTAAACATCAAAAAGCACATGGAGGCATACTGTAATAGTATGTGATAACAAAGCAAGAAAATATATTCAATTCACAACCAGTACATTACTCCACTTTTTTATATTAAGATTCACAGTAAATGTAAGAAATTGTCAGAATGAATCATCAAAGCCTTCAAAATAATCATTATCAAGAAGCGAAAAAGTGCTAATGGTACTCTCGACATTGCAAAAATGCATCATGGCACACAAGTTTATACTAACGTATCTGTCAACGTTGGAAATCATGAGAAAAGGCAAACAAATAAAGTTGGATGGATAATTAAGTAGACATCAAGAAATAAGTTTGATTTTGAAATACCATGGTGAATGAAAGGAATAGAAGCAAAACTGTGCAGCCACAACAAATATTTTCACAATATATTAAATTATCAAAGGAGAAAACAAAAATATTTACCAGGTGTAAAGAATTTCAACTTGCACAGACTTCAAACTGCATCTTAAGATACTCAATACATTTAGGATTTGTTTCATTCATTCCGTCTAATGTGTGCAGGACATACTCAGGTTGAACATTAACAGACACAGGCATTGGATTATCTATGAGATCAAGGCAAAACAGTCCATTCATACTCCTATTTGACACTGAGGCACAACCTCGTTCTGGAGGTGAGGAGGTAATAGTTTTAAAGCACGCTTTAAGAAAGGCATATCAGGATGTAATGAAAAATGCACTCGGGGCTTGACGCAAGACTCAATTATTAGCCACTTAAAAGTTTCCGAAGTGTCCGTGCATATGTATTCGAGACTGTGTGTTGCAGAGAGGAATTGTGTCTAGGTCTGCAGGATGCGACTTAAGCTGTCTCATCCTATCTACCTTGCCGTGTAAACCAGACAGAGAACACTGATTCCTCCTTCACCACCCACGGTGGATCTGTAGCCTTCTATCTGTCACGGCTGGACGGGCAGCACTAATTCTATCCGTACTTCTTCCCTTTTTCTGTTCTTAATCTGTCTCTGTCACTCTCGGTCTCTCAAAGGCTAGTGGACAAATAAGCAGAGGCTTCATTCTGCCCCAG